GTGTACATAAACCGAGTTTTAGAAGTCATATTTAGCATGCAGATAAATTATCAACAGCATATAACCTTGGTTACCTAACCAGTCATTTCAGAATTATATTGACTTACTGTTCAAATGTAGCTGCAAAAACTTCAACATAGCTTTTACTTCGTCTAAATACTCACATTAGGCCATCTTGTGGTTATTGATTCAGCTTCAGGGTCACTTCAGTAACACATTCAATTATCCCTTTAAGAAGTTGAATCGTTGAAAGCAAGGAATAGTGTGTACGAAGAAGTTGGTTTTACTGATTGTATTCATCTACTGTCATATTTATTTATTATTTCGAACGCTATATTTGGATAGCTTGAATGACATACATCAATATGTGGGTGAAATGACACGGAGCATAATGGGATTACAAACTGTCAAGCTTTTTGTCACATGTCCAAATATATTCAGGATAGAACCCTCTTCTTTGTTCTGAAATGAGAGTTTTTGCAAGCAGAAGTAAGTGTATACACCTATGAAAGATCTAAAGTATGCGAAGCGAAATAGATTCATTTCATCGTACAATGATTGTTGTTTGTCCTTTACAAAATAATAGGGAATTAAATATATAATTTCGAGATAATTACCGATACTTACCGAACGATGGAGTTTTAGTTTTGCTATTTACATTATAAGGACTCAAATGTAAGACTAATGTACAGAAAGTATGGTTAATTTATTCTCATATATGTAAATATTACTTCCTCTTAGAAAGAAAATAAATGTTTGAATTATCGCATCTCCTTTCGTTGTTTAACTGTGCATCCGACACATTGTATTAAGAAGTATATAAGAATCAACTGGCAGTACTTAGGATTTGCTAAAAATTTATTCCACTTTAGGTGTTTGTCATGTAACTCACTTTTCGTTATTATCCAGCGACTAATTAGCAAGAAACCTATCCATATCTACCATTGTCATTAATGTTATCGATCTATATTAACACTACTGATTTACTTCACAATTTAGCATGAGTAAACAAATTATCTTTTTATGTTTAACCATTGTCAGTTTGTTTTAAGAAATTTTGCATTCACTTTTGTTTGACATTTTCTAAACTATGTATAATAAATTTATGATGGATTTCAAAGAAAAAAACAAAATTTTATGTTCATTCACGTCGTTTACGGAGTGACCAACCAGTATGGTTCAGTTTTTAATTAAACTTTAATGTTTTAAAATGTTAAGTACCCCTTTATTGAGTTTTAACTGCAATTATTTTAGTTTTATTAATATTCAAGATGCAACAGAATACATCAAGTTTTTTTCCTTTTGTACTGATCAGTTGTTTAATAGAAGAAATTTTATCAGTGCCTATTGAATGCGTCTAAGATGGCTATCAACACCTGTTGTTGCCATAGAAATCATATTAGTTCTGTAAGTAATTTACTCTCCCTACTATTAGTCACAAGAATAACAATCTACTAAGTGGCATGAAAACAATATAATTAGTATATGGTTGAGCATAAATATTTAATTATTATTACTATAGACATTATTATTGTTAGTACTATAAATCAACTGAATATCATGACTTTGATGTGCATATGATATGCCGCCATCTCTCTGTCTCCATCTCACACGCACTTTAGTCATAAGTAAACCTCACTATACTGTTAATTCAAAGTTTTTTATTATTAATATTATTCTAAACGATAACAATTATTAATACTATTATCATCATCTTTATTGTTATTAGTAGTATTAGTAGTAACAGTTGTAGTATTAAGAATAACTACCAACAAATGTAATTTGTATTAAGTAGGCTAAGTAAACATAATTATTTAGTCTGAAAATTATTCATGCAATCAAGCACACACTCAAATATATATATATATATATATATATATATATATATAATAAAATGTCTCAGTAGGTAACGCAACTAAGTACATTTGTAATTGTAAAATATAGAACTAAAAAGAAAAAGACAAACAAAAGTATAAATAAATAGTAATAACACGATAAGTAGTATGTTAAACATACTAATAAGAATAATAACAGTATTATTATTATTAATATTAGCTGTAATGATAATGAAAGCATATGTTAGCCGACCACATCAAAAGACTCTATGAAACAAATTAAATTTACATGTATTAATAAATACTGGATACAATTACAATTATTATTATTATTACCCAATGATTAAAATACTTGTCTTTTGAATGGTAATTGTAGAATAGAGACAAGAGAACATAAAACCGACTTAATGAATACTACTTATTTAATTTAGTTATGCATGATCTACATAGTGGGCAATTCTACACATAGTTCAATGAAGAAATTATTACACAAGAATGATACTACAGTGCTTTTATAAAATATGAAAATCATACAATAAATTCATCATTTTCACATCTTTCATTAGTTGTTCTTTACATACTTCATTATTCTTCCAATTCAATAGTTATTCCAATTGTTCTTTTTCCTTTCCTGTCCTATTTAATTCACTCTTCTGCTGGCAGGCATTCTACTTCCAAACGGTGCTACCTATTACTTATATCTATCAACATAAGTAGAATACACCACAGTATTCATAGTACAATTAACAATTAACTTAAAAACTAATTTTTAGGTATTTTTGTCTTCGTTTCTTACTAAAACTTGGTTCGTAAGTAGCAAAAAATGAAACCCTATTAAATATTACTAACAACTTAATTCAAATCTTAACAACTAAGACTTTATATTTATTTAGATAACTACTGACTGTTCAGCGGACAAAGGGTGTGCATATTTTGTATTTTGTATAAATGTTATCTTTAATCCTGGAAGTCGGAAACCTGGTGATCTATTCCATACAAGGTCAAAGTTTCGAAAAGTAAGTAAATCTTTCACTCCATTTTAATTAATAGATGACAGAAATCCAATTCTAATTGAAAAACTCAGTGATCATTAGTAATCACAATGTTTTGAAATACGTTTTAAACTAAACAGATCAATACAATTGCTTTTAGTATCGGAGACAGATAAATTCACTGTTTGATGCTAGCTATGCATTGCGCGGATTACATTTTGATTTTGTCATACATACGAATTCAGTGTTGTTGAATGAATTAAGCACTCGATCTAGACATCTGACTCTAAAAGCCGTTTCCATCTACTGAATATTTACAAAATTTATTTCGAAGCTGGTTTTTAGTAATTACAGCACTATGATTACTTACTTCAGCTTCCTGTACAGTTCGAACAAAGAATTTACTGGAAAAACCGTTGAAAACTAATGAGCACTAATTAGTAATTTTGTTCTAATTCCTAAGAAGCTTCAGGTTAATGCCAATTCATTACTTCACAGACCTTTGTCAAGATATTCAAGTAATCAATATAGAGTTAATTGAAAGAACTTTTTGAACAGCTTTATAAATAATGAATATAATTTTTTTTCATATATCCCAATGAGTAAAAAACTGTATTTCTGACTATTTGTGACTTAATATGAACCACTTTTTTATTTACTCTGAAGAAGTGGACTACACTAACTCACGAAACGTCACAAATACAATACTTCTACTAATTGGAATATTAAAAAATATATTTATTTATTATCAGTTTTACCAGTATTTAAGACATGAATTTTTTATTAAGTTACTGGTGGCTTCCCAAGGAATCCATTATATATACCAAGTAATTTCAACTGTGTACAAGTACCTAAATAAATTTGACTCAAATAGTTTTAATGCTTAGTTTAATTAATTCTAATTATTTACGTTAAACTATGCAATTTATAAAAGCTGTAAAGAAAATATTTACTCAATCTTTGTGCTTGCTGTCCTTCAATAAAAGTTCGATTCTTAAATTCGTTAGACAGTAAACTAATTCCGATATCTCTTTCATATCAAACCAGTGAAAGTTCATTTAACCAACTGACCAACAACTTAATTCGCTATTTTAAACTAAAATAAATTCTTTCACTTTTCTTATTCGTAAAAATTTCTGTTCTATCATTGTTAACACTCAGGCTGTTTTTCAGTATTATTATTAGTGAAATGAATATATACTAAGCTGAAGAATCACAAATGAGATGAAATATGGATCCTGAATTTTCCTATAACCTTTAATCCAAAACAATTCTTTAAGTATTTTACTTAACAAATAAATGAGAACGGGTTTTTGTGGATATTATAGTAGTTTCAATAGTTGAGATCATGAGTCAATTGAAGCTAGACCACCATGGAAAACCTGGAAGCAGTGAACAGCCCTTTCATCCTATTATGGAACTACTTAGCAGTGCGCATGCACGATCCCGCCTCCCGAGATTCGACTTCAGGATCTATCAGTCTTGCGTGCGAACACTTAACCTCTAGACCACTGAACCGGCCGGTATCCAACGGTGTTAATGTATAACTTCAACCGATCCACGAAATCGAGTGACACATCCAACAATGTCTTCAATGAGTTACTATCTCACAACAGACCTGGTTCATGATCTCAACTATTGAAACTAAATAAGACATAAATTATGGTCCTCATTGAAATAATTTCATGTCATTTATGGTTTGATTTTTCTTTTTTACATCACATCAACATTTATTTAACTATAGGCTACAATTTTTTTGAGAAAAAATTGGAAGTTGAATATTCCTTCATAGAATCTTATTAGTACTTCAAAATTTTAGTTTATTTTGATTAATTAATTTTGAACAATTTGTCACTCGATAATAATTTTATTTTTTTTTAATTTCATTTGTCGAATGGTACATAGATACAACAAGGGTTTTAGACAAAAAATTTTCCTCAAATTCTATTTTCTTTACATGTAATTAAAATTCATTTTTACCTTTAAGGGATTTCATATGAATTTTTTTTATAACAATTAGTTTTTCACTATATATTGTTCAAGTTTTAAGGTTTAAATGATTTCAATAAATGAACATTGCATACCATGAATGTTTTATAGGTCTCCTTGTAGATCTAGCTTTTAAATCTATAAAACTTAAAATAACATCTACTTACGTTAAAAAATTATAAAAATGAAAAGGTAATTAAACTGTATAAAATATTAGATGGATCTGACTTGACAAAAAATCAATGTGAGTAAAGAAAAGATGATAAGGAGATATCATCATCATCATCATCATCATCATCATCATCATCATCATCATCATCATCATCATCATCATCATCATCATCATCATCATCATCATCATCATCATCATCATCATCATCATCATCATCATCATCATCATCATCATCATCATCATCATCATCATCATCATCATCATCATCATCATCATCATCATCATCATCAACATCATCATCATCATCATCATCATCATCATCATCATCATCATCATCATCATCATCATCATCATCATCATCATCATCATCATCATCATCATCATCATCATCAACATCATCATCATCATCATCAACTATTTCTCTCTGTTTTTTCAACCCATTGTCTATCATACTATAAGATTTTATAATTTATAGGTGATTAATATTGTTTTACAGTCAATTTTTTCCGTTAATATTCAGTTTCGTTCATAATTTTATTATTCATTTTTCATTTATAAAGTTTATGTTTGATCTTGTACGGAAGAAATAAATGTGTAAAAGTAAACAGTTAATTAATCTGTCATCTATTATTATTATATTTTTAATTTTAAGAAAATTAAAGCAAACTAATTTAGTTAAATGTGCTGTTAAGATTTTTGCATTGTTTTGGCTGTTAATTTTTCAATGCCTGCAAATGCCCTGGTAAGGCCGAGAGTGGGGAGAGTACGCTCTCCCTCCCAAAATACTCTCACATGCCCACGAGTATATAGCCTCTATCAGGGAAGTCCTACTCACTGCCTTCTCGTGTCCGCAGTGTTGTTTAAAAAACTGAGAGGACGAACAGTGAATACCCGGCACTTTAACAAGGTCGGTGAACACGGAGAGCTCACCTAGGGGAGTTGGGAAACCCTGATTCCAAACCATGGTGTACATGGGCTACAGTATCTTGAGGGAACAAATGGCGTATGAATCAATGGTTGGTCACCAGCTACCATTGGACCGCATCTCCTCACGATGCTCCACTGCCTTATGGATCATATATTTAGGTCAAAGGCTCACACAAATCAAATGAGATTTGTGTGGCGCATATTTATCTGGCGCCCCTTTGTACCAATATTTATGTGCTTAAATAAATAAATAATTTTTCAGTCTGAAACCAATTATTTTTAGATTTACCATACATAGTTTAAGTTTTCTTTTTGTTTTTATCTCTCATTCATCATTATCTTTATCTTGAAGCAATAAGAAAGACTATAAAACTATGTAATATATAGTCACAGTTTTTTTTTGTTCTAATCTATTACCTATATGCATATATATCGGTTATGGAGATCAAATAATCAAATTTGATAAGGATGCAAATTAATGATAGTAAAAATGACCATAATCATTATTATATTGATGGTGCTCTAAAGCTTTTTTCTAAAAAAAATTCAACTTTGTTTTCTAAAGGTCAACATAGCATTATTTATTTAACCATATTTCTTTATTTCATTGAATATATTTATCTAACATATACTAGTTTTAACTTGTTTCTTCCTCTTTATTGCTAACGACAATAGTAGTACATGAAAACATGAAAGAAATATGAATTTGATAAGTATGTATTTACACTTTCCTATTTAGAAGAACTTATATGATTGTGTATGTTTTCGGGCCGGTTAAGGCATTTTGAAAACATGTTTTATGAGTTGAATTTTGTATACTCTGCAAGGAATATTCTATATATTTATACGTATAAATTTTAATGGTGATCATGTCATAAATTAATGCGTAATTCATCCTTCCTTAACTTCTTTTTTCCCCACTTCTTTGTGTTATGTTTATTTATTTCTTATAATTTTCTCGACTTCTGTATTTCCGTGTACGTGTGTCAGTATATGTACATGTGATATGTACATGTACAGTTATATATATATATATATATATATATATATATATATATATATATATATATATATATATATATATATATATATATAACTTTATTCGGCAAATAGATATGTAAACGGAATATAACCATTGAAGTATTAAATAAGAAAGATTGGTCCAGTGAATAGTTCTTTTTTTGGGCGAATTCATTTTCAAATATGTACAATTACAAATATATACTTATTTTTCTAAATGATAATAATACCAATAATAGATAGTAGTGAAACATTTTATTATCGCAATTAATGTAATTAATATCATTTTGAAAAGTAAGTATATACTTGTAATTGTGCAGATTTGAGAGTCAATTAGCCGATAATAGAACTCTTTGCTGAACCATTTTTTTGCTTAACTAAATATGTATCATGCGTTTCAGTTCAGTGATCATTTAAGCTAAGTTAATAATTATTCAAGTAACTAGTACAACTAAATCTAAGCATAATGTTGTGGATCATCAAATTAAGAAGATATTTTGATGAATGGTCAGTAATATACTAGTTATGTAAGAATCAAGAGACGAATGTAGAGAATAAGTAAGATTAAAAAAATACCAAAATTGAAGGAATAAGATAATGGTATACCAAAGTTCTGATAGAAACTCCGCTATACCGATGGCCAAGGTAGCAAGAGTGGTTGTACAAACTTCTTTTGGATACAAAGGTTCGGTTTGCGAGGTAGATAACCTTAAAAGCTTTATTCAGTTCAACTAGATGACTTGTGCCCACCAAGTGAGCGAGAATAGAACTCTTAATCACCTTTGATTGTCCTTTGCTCAACCACGAAGGATGGTGTTCTGTTATTCGTCGACGAACTTGCCGAATTGTACGCCTTATATAACTGGCTCCACAGGAGCAGTTGAATCGGTAAATACACATAGATGTGGCGAATTAAGGCAGTCTGTCCCTATTAACCGTTCTTATTGTGGGGCGGTTGTAGAAGACGGTACTCAGTCTGGCTGCATTAAATGTTTTCTGTACTGCTTTTTTAACCTCTGTGTCACGATTTCTTCCGTAGCATTATTTAACAATTGTAACTTTAGGAACAATACCTTCTTCGGAACGGTAGGTACCCTTGTACTTCTCTTCGTCTCCCTTAATGTGCTTGTCGATGAATTTCATTCGGTACCTATTCCTACTAGGCAAGTTGCGAATATTAACCAATTCATCCAAAATAATGTCATCCAAGCAAATCATTCTAGCACGATGAGTCAGGTTATCTACCATATTCCATCAAATTTGCAGCATGGTTTACAAGCTTGTCTTTTGCACATGGCTGAAACCATCGCAATCCATATTCACAAACCAAAGCTTTGTATCCAAAAGAAATGAAGAAGAGTTGTATTATTTTTAAATTGTTTTAGTCAATTCGATCGTAAAACTTCGATAAAATAAATTCTTGTCATGTTTGTTAGTGGAAGTTAAGGAAATGTAATTATTGAGTAAATAAATGAATTCACTAAGATGACAATTTCATGTAGATTTCACGCCTTGAAAATAGTCTAAAACATGGACTGAATAAAATCAGACAAAATGGAAATCTAAAGAAACACTTGTCAACTTGTATTTGAAAATATAATAATACTAACCAAATCTCTATGTAAGGATATCTAATGTAAGACATTTACGACTCAGTGACGGCAGATAATAATTCTGTCATAACGTGTTATCAAAACACCTCAGTGAATAGTCGCATTAGAGAATATATTGGTCTGAAGCATAAACTGTATTGTGGCAATCGTTTTAATTATACTGACTGCTAAGCGAAATTCTGTCCACTGGAAATTATCTATACTACTTATGTTTGCACAAATAAGTAGCACAGTGAGATTGATATGAAAAGACAATAGAAGTTTATGACGTAAAACCTGAGTACGGACACTACTCTTTCACACAAAATCTGTTAGAAAGTGTATATCATTTTTTATAAAACAATTGGTAAACCGTATCTCAGTGTAAAAACAGCATTGGCTATATTTTGTTTGCAAATTAGATGCCTTAGTTATGATAGTAGCTAGTTAAGTGGATTTGTGTCACCAATTTAGTCAGCATGCCTTAAACTAATGAGTAAGGAAAATAGCAGACCGGTTTGACTTATCGGTCCCCAAACATATTTGGGCTATTGTTTGCAGGGCATAGGCTGTCCTGTTGTGTCCCCTACTTAGGGACGTGGCGGTGTTAGCGGCCTGCCCGATTGGAGCCAAAGCAAACTTGTCGGTTGGACTGTGAATGGAGGTACACCAACCTTGTCAGTAGTAGTTCTGGTTGATGACCAAAACTCTAACTTGGATCTCCAACTTCATTCATCCTGATTCCTCACACCAAGGTTGATTGTATTTTCACTCCAGTAAGTGGTTGAAGTTTTTCAACACCACTACAGTATTCTTTTTAATCAGAATTATCCACAAAATAAACTGTTCCCACTATGAAAAGAACACTACATCGGACACAGTGGATGCTCCCTTCATCTTCGCCTACACGAACATCAATTTGCGGAAATCTCTGTGGCAAATCTTCTCGTATATCAATGCATGTGTACATTTTTAAATACACACTCAATTGATAAATTATTGAATTCTGAGACAGACAAAATACTACAGACATCAGGAAATGTTTCTAAGCTTGGCACTCAAATTAATCAACAAACACATTGCAGTCGATCCAATCTATCGATCAGTCAGAAAAATCATGGACAAATATAGGACAAAAAATCTAATCAAAATGAGTTGCAATCAAAATAAAGAGGTAGACAATGAAAAGTTATATGTTAACAATAACCAGTCGATATCGTGGTTGACAGGAAAATTCGAAAGTCCTATGTGGAAAACCTGAAACACTTAAATTCTACCTGAAGATTTTGTTGATGTTGCTCAGAAGAACAATAATAAAAGCCATTCGACAAATTTAAGATTTAGTTGTTCGTCGCCCAGAAAAGGGTGCGGATATTGTCCTGTTTGATCATCATTGCTTTGTTAACAAATTATCTTCTTTAAACTTACATACACCTGTTACCCACCCGTTGTAGGAAATTAGGCCGCACACCAGCATTCTCCATTCACCTCTGTCCCTAGCAAATCCTTCAACTTGTTTCCAGTTGTCATTCATCCTTTCGATGTCTGCTTCCGATTCCCGACGCAGTGTGTTCCTTGATCTGCCTCTTTTCCTTTTCCCTTCAAGACTTCAAGTTAGCGCCCGCCTCGTGATGATTTCCACAATGGATGTCTTATCTCCCCAAACATCTTTTCCTAATATCCTCTTCAACTGGAAGCTGATTTGTTCTCTCCTATACTAGGCTGTTGCAGATGGTGACCGGTCAACTGACATTGAATAATATGTTGTCTGGACAATTGTTTATAAATACTTGTATTTTTTTATTGTATATTCAGCTCAACTACGCCTGTATGCTCACCGAGGGCTACTGCCGTTCCAAAGCCCACACAAAGGATGAGGATTGGGTATCGGGTTATCGACCTCACGCCATGGAAAACTA